AACTAGAAGATGGCATCGCGGATCTCCGCGAAGCTTCTGCGGCCCTGAATCGCTGTCAACCGCGGATTAGAGTCAAGGTAGCATCTCTGAGTCCCATCGGTGATCCGAAATGAACAGGCCATTCCGCTACAAGACCAGTTGATGCCGGTAGAAAACAAGATTAACTTAGACTACTATCCCTACCAGACTGGCCACCACATTCAGGACCTTCAGCTCCTGCCTTTGACTTTCTGTCAAGACTGAAAATTTCTATTCGGAATACATTGGTCCGATGCACGGAGGGTATAATGAGATCAATATCACTCTCCCAACGACGCCCGCAATGATCGACTTGAGAAACCATAAAGGAATACTTCTATAGTCCGAGCATCAAACGGGGGAGCACACGGCATCGTTCTTTCTCCATGCTTCATGCTTGTCCGTCGCTGGTATTTAGACGCCCCTCGGGAGAACTTTGGCTCGATTTTACCTTCATCCAAAACAGTAACCTGTATAATACAGCAGAGGCTTAAGGCTGCATGACGGATGCTAAGACTCCGCCCCCCCCCCCCCACACCTTTATTGTACTGCTCCCTCTGCGGCGTCTACGAGCCCGGATCATCCTGGATCCAGGACACTTTTGTGTGAGTCTGACTTCGGACAGACTCGACGAATGATCAAAAAGGGATGAAAAGGTAAGAAAAGCTTGTAGGCTGTAGCCGCACAGAGAAGGCCAGAAAAATTTGTTACCTAGCGGTTCGAAACGAAAGTCTCGACGTGAGGTCTAGTCCCTGGGGCTGTTTCATGTCCTGCGGCACACAGCCGCACAAACCGGTGTACTGACGTCGTCCCAACGATCGCAGCAAAGAATCTGGGACTGGCGAAGAAATATCCTTGCGTAGATGACAGCAGAACATTGATGGCTGGGGCTTTTGTGGTAGGATCACGGAAAGGAAGGACGATGAGAGATGTGACGTCGGATCCCGTCAATTGCCTATCGAACTTGTCCTTTCTGCCACCCCCATCCGGGTAGTGATGTTGCCGGAAATCGGGGAGGGCGCTGTTTGCGTATCGCCCCGGCTTCGGGTTGCTTGTCAAAATTGTTCGGCTGAGGGTTAATCTTTCTTTTCCAGGTTGAAACCAGATAAACTCTCCACGCCTATGTGGTTTAAGGTTATGCTAGCATCGTGGGATCTTTGCTGACAGGAAAGAGAAGGAAAGAAAAAGAGCTGACTGAGTTTCGTTTGAATTCCAAACCTCTAAGTATCGGGGACTTCGCCTTTTGGGACGTTTCGTAGAGCCACCCCCACCTAGGTACCCAACAAACATTGCTTCAAAACGCAATGAAGCCCGTCATATCATGGGGAGTGTGTGTGTGTGTGTGTGGCTTAGGATATGCAAACACACAGGGCATTCCCCAGGTCTGCAATGACTTGGAGGAGGAGGGTATGGGGAACGGGAGCGGGTAGTTGAGTTGAGTTTCTCTGAGAGCGTAGACGACGAGAATAGTCAAGAACTTTCCTACCGTGTGTTTGAATGAGAGAAATTGGGCTGATCTTTTTTTTTTCTCCCCTTCCTGCAAGATTCCCCTCCCAGCAGTCCGCGCGCTTGCGTATTGTGTACGTGCGCTGTTATAGAGTTGAGAGAGAGACGTGTTTAAATTCCCGGTAAAACTCGTGGCATGCCTGTGAGGGCTTTGCCGTTTCTTGATACTGTCTGAGAAAACATCTTCACCGAGCTTCGCGAAAACGAGCAACCATGGGCTGGGCGTGTATGGATATTGGAGGTTGTTCATCGACATCAAGTAATCCTCTTCAGCTTCAAGCTAGGATGAGAGATGACGGCGATTCCCCTGATATCTAAAAAATGGGGGGAAAGAAACACACATGACAGAGACTGGCATTGCCATGCTGGTCCCGAGGGTAGAAGTAACCATCATCGCCACATACTCTCAACCCCATCCCGCCTTCGTACGGGGCAAAGTCGCCGAGCAACGGGTCCCGGGAGACGAACGTTCTATGGAGCAGGAGCGAAGTGCCGACCGAAAGTGGGCTCCTCTTCGTGATTTCCCGTTGGTGCATGTGTCAAAGTCTGAGCGGGTGTTTTGGCAGTCTCTTTGCCTATTCTTGGCCCTTCTCATTCTGGGCGCAGAGAGAGAACCGAGCTCTTTCTCTACATACGGTTCAGCCTTGAGGTTTTGTCCCCTCCTCTGCGAGACAACTCTCGAGAAGCCTTGTCGCTGAGCGACCTCGTCCCCGGCGGGAGGCGGTATAGGTGGGATGTTTACGTGTTATCCACCTCTTCTGCCTTCACTTCAGTGCTTGAACATAGGGATGGTCTAAGAAGCCGCCCCGTTTCCTGTGAATCAAACGCCGAGGCTTGAAAGAGGGTGGGTGTTCCGGCCGTAGACGTGCCCCGTTTGTTTTGATACCGAGGAAGAGTGAGCTTGATTCAGAGCCGGAGGAGGGCCGGCGAGTTGGGCGTTTCGGCGCTTGAGCGGTTCATTCGTCAAGTTTCTTCTTCTATTGGCGCCTTCATTGCTTGGCTGGATCAGCGGGAGGATGGGATCCGAGGTGTAAGTTGCTTGGAGGTGGACTTTTGTTTGAATGTGGACTTTGTGTGAAAAGTAACAGCACTGTAAGTGTCTATTGGGACATTGAGATGCGGAGATAAAGCTGTATCAGCGAGACTCGGCCGAGGAAGGGATGAATTATAGTAGCGGTACTCATTCATTGAGTTCAACTCAGGAATGCTTGGATGGATTGACTTAAACGATGGAAAGCTGAAACCTTCCGTGGATGTAGCTTTTTAGGGTTGGATTTTAGGAGCAAGCTGAAGGCCGCTATCAGCTTACACAGAGTCATCATTATGATTTGCTATTACTACCAGTGTGATATGATCGACTAGTTCATGCTGGCAGCCGAACCATAAGGCAGCGGTCTTAACATAGTTAGCGGTTTTGATATCGTGTATTGACATCCTCTTCGCGACCCTGGGCAAGCCAGAGATTTCCGCAATGAGAAAGTGAGAATAAGAAAAAGTAATATAAAATCGGTCTTCCTTTCGCGTCGCCTGGAGGCAGTGTAATACCAGGGACACAGTGGGAAAACGACATGTGTGCTCTCTCCCCCGATGAGACCCATGCCTCCTTTTTCGCGGTGCCACGCCGAAACGTAAGCGCCGCGACAAGAAGAGCGAGCAATGTCGCAAGCCTCAGGAGAGTGAGAGGGACACAGAGGCTCGTCTGCCCGGATTTGAGAAAAGATTATGTTAACCGTTGAAGACAGGTTCGCGATCCCCGTGGGGATGCTTGCCCAGTTGGTTATACTGGTAAGAACAGATACTACACTTGATCATAGCCTTTGGCTAAGAGAGCTGAAGAATAAAAGGAGAAGAAGAGAGTGGAGAAGATGTAAAACGTGTGAGTCCTTTATAGATGGATGAGAGGTTGTGGATATTGGTGAAGGCGGCGGCGCTGGTGAGGCCAAATTCTAAGGACTCGAATGAGGCCAATCTAGGGCACTGTCAAGTGAGGCCAAATCGGCCTGGCTTGGAGTCTTAGGCAGCAGTTACTAGACCTCCTTTGAGGAAAACATCTGTGACTAATATGCGCCAAGTGTTCCACGTCTCTAGATCAACTCGTGTCCAAATTGCTGGGGCGTCAGTTGTCCCACTGGTTATCAGTATCTGCCAGATTTGCGATAGACACCGACGACTGTCTACTAGAAGTAACTCCGGTGATATCACTTAAGGGTTATTCAAGGTTTCGTTGTATCGAAGGATCATGTCGCTTAGAACGAAGATATGCTCAATACAACGAAGGCGACGAAATTTGACAGATACGCCTCTGTGATTCAGCGTCCCCAGGAGAGATTGTGCTGCCTCGGGATCTTCCCATGCCATTACCATGTCTGGAAACACATGTAACATGTGTCTGTGGACTCATTTTGTGTGAGTGAGGCCAATAATTGAGGCCAAAGTGGCTTGACTCTGTCGCGAGGCCTCTCTATCACTTTACCAACTTCTGGAACACTACCATAGAATTGAAAAAAAAAACTGCTTCTGCACAGGATGACAAAGTCTTCGCATATAAAAAGGAGTTAATAATAGCCAGGCAGTCTCAGAGCTTCGTCAAGAATGACTCGGCTCGAAGTAGACCGGAACCAAGAGAAGGAGATGCCGGTTTCTAGATCTAGACGGCGTTTTGGAGTGGTAGCTGTTGCGCAAATAATACTCTTCAGTGACTAAACCCGGAATTGTGAGAGTGGTCGAGATTGCTTGGGATCGATATATTGGAGAAGAATGACCGAAAAAGTTTGGTAGGAGCTAAATGAGGAATCGTTGAGTTGTGGAAGCGTATGACCTCTTCCCTTGAGCTATGCAAACAGCAAAAAGTTGTACGAAATTATATACATGAGGCGCATTGCAGTTCCAACTTGTGGCACAAATTGATTTAATATGAAAACTACTTGGTACATAGGTATGCAAGAACTTGAGTGATACTCATAAGAAGTGCCCCATATCCGTTAGATGGACTCGGAGCTTGCCAAGGGCGCCGGAGCTTGAAAGACGGGACGTTGAAGATAATTGTGGGACTCCCGAAGTACCCCGGGCCCGGGCGACTGGGCCACCACAACACGCTGGACGGTGCGCTAAATCACTGACGCGTGACGCCATTCGATCATTCCGAGCTCCAAATCACTTTGTCGCGCTCCGTCGTTCAACCCATGTCACTTAAAGTGTCGCCCGCAATTTTACTCACCCCTCCAACCGTTGTTTGTACGTGCGATGGCACTGGACATGAACTTTATGTTTTCTTAAGGACCAGTCTGTATTCTCAAGTTCGATTTACCACTTCCTCCCCCTATGAATCTATGTCTTCCTCCAGGCTGTTCCCGCCCTCAGACGCGTCGCGTCAAAGATCGGGAATTTTGACGCCCAGCTCCGATGGGTCTCTGAACTCCAAACATGAGCTGCCGCCGCCCGCGACGGCGCAGAGGAAGCGCAGTGTCTCGCATGCCATGGAGGACTTGCTCAAGGCTGCCATTGTTCTCAAGGTAGGTTCCCGACTTGTCTAGGCATCACCGCGGTGTCCGTCAATGGCTGACCCGTTGTATAGGTGCATCCTACCAGCACTGTCTCGAAGCCATGCACGCTGCAGCCGCTTATGCTGCTCCCCCGAGAAGACCTTCCGCTGTCCAGCCTTGACCTCTTTTCACCCCATGGCGATCTTCCCTCTAGTCGCCTTTACGAGTCCCTAGTCAAGATCCTCGACCTCGAAGACCGAGTCGCCGAGAGGCCGAGCCTGCTCCTTGCGCGCAACGAAGCCTCCAAGTCGGTTTATGCGCTCGAACGCGCTACTACTTCTGGAAAGAACCTCTATACAGTCTGCAAGCTTGGCTCGTGGGTGGACTTGCTGGCCTTGTCTGAGAAGGCTACGGTGGTCGGCAAGCATGTAGCGCGCATGCGGCTTGCAGAGGAGGCGAGGGAGTCTCAGCAAGGGCAGACTATGCCATTGATGACACCGGCCTTGCACAGAGGACACAAGGAGAAGAGACTGGCGATCGAGGCGCTGCAGCAGTCTATTGTGAGAAAGAGGGGCCGCTCGCAATCCGTGTCGACATTTGACGGGAGGGCAGAGAAACGGACGAGGTCTGACGATGACATTTCACGACCGCAAACGCCAAGCGGGTTGGTTCAGACGGTCGAGCCGAAGCCTGAGCCGACTGAGTGGATTGAAACACATCTAGACGCAGTCGAACCGACACCACAGCCCGTTCCCGAGCCTACTACCCAGCAGACTGCTGGCGACATCATGGATACCATCAGGACGCAGTATACCGAGGCACTTTACGAGTCAATGGTTGGTTCATTGTTCCGTCTTGCGGGAAAGAGTTTTAGCTGACATCAAGATATAGGGATCTCTTGCGTATTTTGCCAAGGGGCCGCTATCTCGAGCCCGTGCCGCTTTCCATCTCGACTGTGACGGCACGATGGATATGAACGACCTCATAGAGTTTCTCAAGAGTCTGGTCATGACAACGGTTCAAATCGACAAAAAGTACCGCGAAGCAATACCCGATCTAATTTCGAAAATGAAGACACACATTGATAGTTCCGACGAAGGCAGCAAGTCGAAGCGAAGGAAGACCAAGAAAATGAAGATGGGCAAGGATGGCATGTACTCTGGCGAAGACGAGCATGTGCGTGCCTGGTGGAACTCGAACAAGCCGGAATTCAGTGACGAGGATATGACCGTCACACCGGCACAGATCAAGTCCCATGTTTCCCTCCTGCGAACCCGCGAGACGCAGTTACAGATGATTTTGATTTTGGAAATCCTGGCCCTGGAGCCTCTGCGTACAGCTGAGGCCGAGGGGGAAACCCAGCTGCCTGGTCTCTCGGGCGAGGGCGATGGAGAGAAGGCCGCAGAAACTCAACCGAAGAAGCGCAGCAAACACAACTTCCCCGTCTTGGTGGACGTTCATGCCGATCGGCTCACCATTTGGCAGTCCACTGCTTCTGATGAGTTGAGGCTGCTTGAGGGCTCTCAAGTTACTGCGGCGAACGGCGGAGATCCAGCCCTGAGGGCGTCTGCGGACCCCCTAAAGGACTTCTGTACTGACATTATTATGCCTTTGTAAGTTTGCACTTATCGCAGAGGTTCTCCTCAGCTAACAATCCCAGCTTCGCCGCTCGGTTGCCTGAGATCTGCGACTCCATCAGCCGTAAACTTGGCGGACCCGTCATCATTGCTCCGCCAAAACCCAAGGCGAAGCCGTCTTCGAGTAAAATCAACACGAAGCCTGGAGCTGCTGCGAAGCGTCCTTCAAAGCCCTCATCGAAGAACAACATAGAAAAAGCTCTTTTCAAGGAGCAGTCGCGGCGCAGTATTTCTAGAGGTCCCGGTAACGCCATTGCGTTGTTGAGATCTGCAACCTCGGCCAATATTTCTGGCTTCAAGCGTGAGAACAGCGAGCTCGATCGCAAATCGCCCATGGACCGGACGGGTCTCCTCTCCAGGAGTCAAAGCATGACGGCCTTGGACGACGTCAAGGTCCAAGACGTCAAGGCACAGAAGAAGGCGCTGGTGGAAGCCGAGTTGAAGGATGCCATCACGGCCATTCGGAAACCTAATCGTGACCTGGCGGGCAAGGCCATCGTTGAAGATGCGGTGAAGCGGGTTTCCGGGGGTCTTTCTTCGATTAAGAGTAAGCTTCACCGTTGCTTCTCGATTTTTTTGGTGGCGTGCTAATCCTTCGTACAGAATCCAAGAAACCGCCAACCCGACATCCACTATTTGAATCGGTACAAGTAAAGGTCACGCCTGCCACACATCGCTTCCGCGATGCCTTGAGCGCGGAGTCACAGGGCGCAAGTAATCTTTTCATTCCGATGTCGAGTATCCCGCCCTCTAGCGCATCGAGAGTCCCCTCTACAGGACCGCGGAGGGGCCACATCGATGTTATGGGCAATACTCCATCATCTGCTATACAGGCGACGCCTATCAAGCGTGGAGGGCACGAGGCCGGGATCCCGCCTTCATCGCCCTTGATGGCAAGGAAGCCTGCGAGAACCCAGCATTTGAGCGTACCAGGAAGCGTGATCAGGACGAGACCTGAGCCTATGCGGTCACCGTCACCAGACATTGGCCTGCCGGCGACGCCATGCAAACAACGGACGGTGGACGTGTTGGGAGACGAGGTGGCGGTTACTCCGGTGCGCAGATCATCACTTGCGCTGCCCCCACCACCAGAAGAGGAAAAACCAAAGTCGATTTACGCACGACTTGGGTGGGATGACGACTTTGACGACTTTTAATGATATTTTGTGCGCTGCATTGATATGGCGTGTATGGACTTTCAAGCATACGGATGGATACCCAAGGGTTTGAACTGTTTGGGATCATGGAATGGGACGCGTGGAATACACTTGATGAATATGGCATAGCATAGCATCTTTGGAGCCAAGGGGTTTGCATCTGGGACTGCGTCGTTCTTGAAGGTCTTTTGGTGGGAATATATCAGAGGTTAGAGAGCGCAGGGCTGTCTATCAACACCCAAACACTCGTTGCACTCACTCGTCCGTCTTTTGCTCCTCTGTTGCTACCGCTGCCGGTGCCGGTGCCGCTACCTCTGCCACTGGTCGCTTTTCTACGAACATGATGGGAAGTTCCCTGACGTCCACGTGCTCTTGCGAACTCATATCAATTACTCTCACGGCTTCGATGTTGACGAGACCCTCTTTCAGGGGCAGGAACTTGAGTTCCACAACGTGACACGCCCCGGGCGCAAGCGGTCCGACTCTCGTGTCGGCAGTGAGGCAAACAACCTCGGTAGCATCGACCACTGAGTTGTGCTGCATAGCGTGCAGAACATTCTCGTCCAGCACCGCATCCGCGAGCTCTTTTGAGTCCGCAGCCGTCTTGCCTTTCCCGCTCGTCGAGGGAGGGCGCATGAGCCGGACCTCGTTGCGCCGACGTTTCGAGAGTGCCACGAGCGCGAGCTTGCGCGGCGTCACGGCGGGGTTGACCTTTTCGACGCTGCGGTTGACGACGTAGACTGTCCAGGAGAACTCCTCGCCCGCGTAGATGGGCTCCGTGGGGCCGCAGAAGGTCATGGTGATGCCCAGTTCCGGGAGGAGCGCCTCGACGGTGCGGGTGGCGGCCTCCAGCGCGGGGAGGGAATCCGGGCGCATGACTGCCGGGGCGACGAGAGATTGGGCAGCCTCAATACCGGAGATGGAGAGCTGGGAGGGGCGGTGGGAGCGCTGGATGGGTTGCATTGGTTGCATTGCCGCGTTGAAGCCCGGGTTGACGGGGAGGGTGAAGTCGAGGGTGGTGGTCCATGTCATGCTGAGGCGCGGGCAGCAAATGCCTGGGTTCTTCTGCACGACGGCTTCGATGTGGATGTCAAGGTCGCGATTGTGGTTCTTGGAGGGGAGGTCGAGCTGTTGCGGCGACAGGCGGTAGAGGAACGTGACATGGTCGTGGGAGACGCAGGTCATGGGCAGTGTGAGGCCCGCCGGGGAGCTGAGGTCGTCTACGACGCCGCCGTCGGCGACGGAGAGGGCTATGCTGGTGAGATCGATGGGGCAGTCGAAGTACGGGGTGAAGTCCACCTCCAGGAGAGCGATGAGGGCCGCCGAGGTGGGCATGGTGTTTGGGCGGGAGAAGCGGACACGGGTGTGCACGGCGGGGAAGATGCGCGTCCGGAGCTGTGAGAGGCAGCGGAGAGGCCGAGACGTGTCTTTGGCTTGGGTCACGGGGGCTACGCGGGAGACTCGGAGGGCGGAGAGACGCGGGACTACGCCGCCGAGGCCCGGATCACTGGTGAAGGGTTCGAGAAGGTTCAGGCCCGAGGGCATGCCGGACTGGAGGTAGCCGGCGCCGCCGTTCATGCGGAAGTTGGGGGAGAGAGGGGTGGCTGAACCGGAGCCTGCCGCGGAAGCCGGTCTGAGGCCGGCGGAGGCCGTGAAGGTTGCAAAGGGGCCTTGCAGGCGGATGCGTGGCCGCGCGAGGAAGACGGGGAGCTTCCAGACGGCGTAGATGTGTGGTTCCTTCTTTCGCCTGTCTATAGGGGCGACGGCGTTCTCGTCCTTTTTGTTGGAGTCTGAGGCGGAGTCTTCGTCTTCGGGTTCGTCGACAACGATGAACGGGTCCGAGGTGTCCTCGACGGTCCCCTGGAAGATGATGTCCGTCGAGGGCTTTTCCCGATCCGAGGCGTGGCTGTTGACGATTTGGGCCTCTACTGAGACGACCAAGCGACTGAAGTGGGATCGTAGCGCCTTTTCGTCCATGAGAGGGGCTCTCAGGACGAGCAGCACGTCAACCGTCTCATCTGGTAGATGTTAGATTATGTAAATATGGATATGAAGAGTAGAAGGTATACCGAAGAATAGTGTATCCCTCCGCTTGATGGAATCAAAGAGCGCTTTAGTGTCGTCAACGCCTTGAAACGCTTTCTCAAGGTCCAGATTTGTTGCTTCGGGGATGAAGTATGTAAGAAATGCATTTTCAATGAACTCGGACACCGCGGCGGGCTCCCGGATTTGATCGTCTATAGCCATGCTGGGCTATGTTTGTGGTATCAAATGTGAGAGCTCATCTCAACCATCCATGTATATAGATAGGATGGATGGACAGTTTCACAACGGTGTCCTTCTGTTTGCCAAATTAAGGGAACTTATACCAAACGCTGAGCGAGCTCACGACGTTTCTCTCGAATGACCTGCGGTTTGGCTCCGTGATGAGAGAAGAGAGAATCGCAAATAAGTGTTCTCGGTCCGAGTAAGTACCTGCGGTATGAGAGAGGTTTGGTGAGAGGTCCAATGAGTTGGGTCGCATGTAGGACAGTGAGAGGTTGAGTGTCTCTAACACAGTGTGGGAGCTTTCCCCTGGCTGCCAGCTGGCTTACTTAAGGTTGAAAGTTGCCGTGAGGTTAGACTGGAACCGGAACCACCGAGCTACCCCAGTCCGTGCACCAAGCGCCAAATTGCTCATTCCGTCGGTCGCAAATATTCGTAGCATCTCTTCGCGTTCCCCTCCGCGCGACGACCTGTTCGATTCTCCACGTTGACACGCCATACAAAGCGTCCACGCATCGCCGCTTTGCTTACGGTCGACTTGCAAAGTCCTCGAGTACACTTTAGTATCTACAAAATCCCCAATCGATAGGCGCCATCACCATGAACGGATCCGGCAGCTCGTATGGCCAGCCTCCGGCGTGGCAGGAGCATCGCACGCCAGACGGCCGAGCCTACTACTACAATGCGGCAACCAAGGTCACGCAATGGACCAAGCCCGAGGATATGATGACTGGGGCCGAAGTACGTGAGCTCCCTTGGACGAGTAAGATTAGCTGCTAATTGGTCACAGAGAGCCCTTGCGAATCAGCCATGGAAGGAGTACACTGCGGAGGGCGGTCGCAAGTACTGGTATAATACCGAGACGAAGTCGAGCTCCTGGGAGATGCCCGAGGCCTACAAGAAAGCTCTGGGTGCCAACAGCGGCCCGAGTACGCCTGCGTATGTGTATATCTCGATCCAGTGCCATTCGTCAACTAACAGGAATAGGGCTGCGCCATACGATCGAGGAGCGCCTTCCGACAGGTACAATAACGACCGTTACGATTCCTACCGCGACCACCGCGATACCTTCCACGAGTCGCGCCAGCTGACATTCGGCAACGACGCGACGGCCAAGGCCTTCGTGCCCGCCAGTAACGAGCCCGAATTCGCCACGCAGGAGGAAGCAGAGGCCGCCTTCACCAAGCTCCTCAAACGCAGCGGCGTTCAGACGGACTGGAACTGGGAGCAGACGCTGCGAACCATCGCAAAGGACCCTCAGTACAGGGCTATCAAGGACCCCAAGGATCGAAAAGCAGCTTTCGAGAAGTACTGCCATGACATGATTGTCCAAGACAAAGAGCGCGCAAAGGAGAGACTGACCAAGTTGCGTACTGACTTCGAGACTATGCTTAAGCGCCATCCGGAGATCAAGCACTACACGCGATGGAAGACTGCGCGCCCCATGATCGAGGGCGAGACCATCTTTAGGTCCACCGATAACGAGGCCGAGCGTCGTCAACTCTTTGAGGAGTACAGAGTTGACCTCAAGAAGAACCACATGGAGAACCAGGCCAGTATGCGCAAGACGGCCATGGATGGGCTCATTGACCTCCTCCCGAAGCTCAACCTGGAGCCCTACACGCGCTGGTCCGATGCGCACAGCCTCATTTCATCCACGACGCCCTTCCAAAATGATGAGAAGTACAAGACCCTGAGCAAATTTGACATTCTGATTGCGTTCCAAAATCATATGAAGGCTTTGGAGCGCGCTTTCAACGACTCCAAACAGGAGCAGAAGAACAAAAAGTTCCGCAAGGAGCGTAAGGCTCGTGATGGCTTCATCTCCCTCCTCACTGAGCTCAGGAAAGATGGCAAGATCAATGCCAGCACGAAGTGGCGCCAGATCTACTCCCTTATCGAGGACGACGACCGTTACAAGGCTATTCTTGGCCAAGGTGGCTCAGCTCCCCAGGAACTTTTCTGGGATCTCGTCGAAGAAGAGGAGAAATCCATGCGTGGCGCTAGGAACGATGTGTACGATGTCATTGACGTAAGTTGACCTTGATCTCGTAGTGCTGTTCTGGTGTGCTAATATATATAGGACGAGCGATTTGATATCACTCCCCAGACCACGTTCGAAGAATTCCATGCCGTTATGAAGAAGAGTCGACGAACTGCTAACATTGAACGTGAAATCTTGATGGTTCTTTTCGAACGCGTGAGTCAAAGATGGAAATCAAACTTGAAATTTTGGCGAAAGCTAACGTGTGCGCAACAGGCCAAGGAGAAGAGATCTCTGAAGAGATCCGACGATGAGAGACAGTCTGAACGCCAACAGCGAAGGGCGGCTGATGATCTCCGGGCGTACATGAAACGTATGGATCCCCCTATTACCCTGGATGACACGTACGATAAGGTCAAGGTTCGCCTTGCGGATACGCCCGCGTTCCAGGCTGTCACATCGGAAGACGCTCGCGTCGCTACCTTCGACCGATACGTGAGGAGACTCCGCGAGAAAGAAGAAGAGGCCGACCGCGATCGCCGCCGCAGACGTGGCCGCGATTCCAGCGAACGCGACATGTACCGTGAGAGACCCAGATCCAGAGGTGAGCGATCTCATCGCAGCAGTGGCCGCGCTACCAGGCGAAGCCGTAGCCCGGAGGTAGACGCCTACGAGGCGGATAGGCGAAAAGCTATTGCTGAGCGTGAGCGTAACCATCGCAAGTCAACCATGGCGGAGAGTCTGCTCTCGA